AATGTAAAACTACCAGCCCTAACCAATTTATTGAGCCTCCTGACTACACAGTTTGCTCACACTTAGGAATCCTGATGAATGTTTACTTATAGTAATGTTTCTGGAAGTTCACGAAACTCTGATCAGTAATTACCCATTAAAATAGTAATCATTCAGAAGCATGAATGCTCAATACAAAACAATGATGTAACATTCTTATGTTATTTTGTTCTGCGTACATAAACAGATGTAACATGCTTGTAACTGCTCAAATATTGACCAGTGGAGCCATCTCAGCCCTCTAAGAAATACAGGTACATGTCTATAGAGACTATTAAAATGATGTTCTCATATGGCTTCTAAGACCTGGTCTGTGAACTCAAAATTCCTTCATACTTAAAAATCCATTTATATAATTTAAAAAGAATAACATGGACTTCCAATGCTAGCCATGATGTAATAACCAGTACTGGACTTACCCTCTCTCACATCCTAAACAATTTTTAATATGGACAAAATAGATAAAGCATTGGACAACCAGAGTACAAGACCAATTCTTGAAAGAAGCGATATACATGAGATGAACAGTCTCAGTGAGCAGAGGAAGCAGATTGGGCTGCTGAGGTGGCTGGAACCTGTAGGACAGAATACTATAGAAAAAGAAGCTGTGTGAAATGGGGGACAGAAATCTGCATGGATAGTCCCCTTGGGTCTCTGGCCAAGACCTGGGCTGTGTATACATACGGTGAGACTCTATGGGGCCTAACACAGAGTACCTGCTGCAGGGCTGAGAGCTGAACAAAAAAAACAGAGGTCATGTAGCACTTGGACACGACTGGATCTCTGGCCCACAGTACAGAATCTTCACTGAGCATCTTGGGCATTCAAATGAAATGCTAAAAGTCTACTTTAAAAGAAGGGATCACACCTTAGAGTTAAGGGCCATGTCCTCAGACTAAGAACAAAATCAACACTGACCTGCCCAAACAAAGCATAAAACCAAGCCTAACAGATTTAACTGTCTGTAATTTAACTGTCTGCAAGAAAAAAACTCAGCACCCTTTAAAAGAAGACAACAAAATCCATTCATACAGTACACGATAAAGTTACTAAGCATATAAAGAAATAGGCAATACCACCCGTAATCAAGAAAAAAAGCAATCAACAGACTCAAAAATGATCCATTTGTATAAACTAGCAAACAAGGACTGGTAAACAACTGTTTTACACACACAAACACACACACACACACAAAGATTTAAAGGGAAAGATGGGGATATCCAACAGAGAAGTGGAAACTAAAACAAGAACCAGATGGAAATTCTAGAGCTGAAAATACATCTGAAATGAAAAACTACACTAGATGGGTTCTGAACAGCAGTCTAAACACTGCAGAAAAAGGGGTCAATGAACTTGAAGACAAATCAAAGACATTAAAAAGTTGAAAGAGAAAAATTATTGTAAAAAAATGAACAAAAACTTCAGTGACATGTGGGACAATATCAAGCAGTCTGCAATGCATGTACTTTGAGTCTTAGGAAAAAAATAGGGCAGAAAAATTTCTAAATAATATTCGAATTTGAATAAAGGCTGAAAATTCACCAAATTTGGTGAAAAATATCACCCCCCAGATTAAATAAACTCAGGGAATTCCAAGCAGAATAAGTACAAAGAAAAACGAGACCAAGGCACACCTTAGTCAAACTGATAAACATGAAAGCTAAAGGGAAAAATTTTAAAGCAGTTAGAGAAAACGAATACACACTAATACAAAAGCACAACAGAAAGAATAACGGTTGACTTAGAATCATTGTTGGCTAGAAGGCAATGGAACTGTGTCTTTAAAGGGCTGAAAGAAAAAAAAACAACCACCATATTTCTATATCCAGTAAAAATATACCTCAAAATGAGTATGAAATAAAAATGTTTTCAGATAAACAAGAGTTGGAAAAATTTGTTGCTAGAAGACCTGCATTTCAAGAAATGCTTAAGGAAGTTCTTCAAGCTGAAGGGAAAATGATAATCAAGATAGAAATTAGAATCCATGGGAAGGAATAATGAGCACTGTTTAAGTGGTAAGTATGTGGTAAATATAAGAGACCATAATATTTTCTTCTCCCATTTTCTTAAAAGGTTTTTTTTTAATTTATTTATTCATAATTTTGGTTGCCTAGGTCTTTGTTGCTGCACGTGGGCTTTTCTCTAGTTGCGGCGAGTGGGGGCTACTCTCCGTTGCGGTGCACGGGTTTCTCATTGCGGTGGCTTCTCCTGTGGCAGAACACGGGCTCTAGGCACGCGGGCTTCAGTAGTTGTGGCTTGCGGGCTCAGTAGTTGTGGCTCGCAGGCTCTACAGCACAGGCTCAGTAGTTGTGGTGCACGGGCTTAGCTGCTCCGCGGCATGTGGGATCTTCCTGGACCAGGGCTCGAACCCATGTTCCCTGCATTGGCAGGCAGATTCTTAATCACTGCACCACCAGGGAAGCCCTTAAAAGGTTTTTTAAACCAAAGTAATAATGAAAACACTGGGATTTTTAACATATAGAAATACCATATATGATAACAACCGCACAAAGAATGAGGCAAAGTAAATGGAATTATATCTCTGTAAGGTTCTAACATTTTACATGAAGTAGTATGATACTATTTCTAAGTATACCATGATACGTATAGGATGCATATAGTAATCCTTAGAATAACCACTAAAACACAATACCTTAGAAGTATAGTTTTTAAAAAGTGAGAGAAACAGGTACCAATTAAACCCTCAAACTCACTGAGTCCTATTCTAGCCTATTCTCCCTGGATGATACTTGCTGGTTCAAGGCTATTTTGATTCCTTTTTTCTTAATTGTGGCCAATATAAATTGTGGCCCCATAAAATATGACAGTGAAAGAAATGTCTTTCAATTATAAACCAAATGTATCATTAGAAGTTTATGTAATTATGTACCTTTACTAGCAGTTTCCAGGAATATGTACAATTTGATAATGTGCTAGTATTTCTCCCCTACAACAACAATAAAAAATGCCCAATTTTACCTGAAAACTTTTTCTTAAAGGGCTAGATAGTGAATATTTTAAGCTTGTAGTCCATACTCAATTCTGCTGTTCTAGCACAAAAGCAGTCACTGACAATACACAACAAATGAGCATGGTAATATTTCAGTAAAACTATTTATTAAAACAGGCAACCAATCTGTAGTTTGCCAATTTCTGTTTTACAAGATGCCTAAAAGTCTATTTACAATGATTTAATTTGTTAAAATATTTTAATGTGTTTTTATAAATTTAGATAATTTTTCCTCTAAAAGCTCTAAACTTTAGAGAAAGAACCTTTGCCCCCCCCAAAAAAGATTAACTACACTGCTTCTTTAAAACATAATCTTCTTTTTTCTTCTCTCAAATATCGCTATAATTATCTCTCTTTAATTTTTAAAAAAATATTCAATTTTGAATAGGTATTTAATAAAATTACCTCATAAAATTTTGAAACCAACATTCAAAAGGTTATATAATGAAAAGTCCCCTTTTCATCTCTATCCTCAGTCTTCTTCCCCAGAAACAAACCCTATTACCAGTTTCAATTAGAGCAGCACTATCCAATAGGACTTTTTGCAATGATGGAGACGTTCTATATCTGTGCTGTCCAATACAATAGCCAGTAGCCACGGTGACTATTAAGCCCTTGAAGTGTGGCTAAGTTTGATCAAGGAACTGAAATTTTAGTTTTATTTAAGTTTAATGAATTTAAATAGCTACATGTGACCAGCGGCTAATGTACTGATATTAGGCAGTACAGATCTAGAGAATCCTCTGAGAGCAGTGGTGTTCTAGGTTGGCTACATAATACAATCACTTAAGAAGCATTTAAACATTCAGAGCCCTAGCCGCAACTCAGATCAAATATATAAAAATCTCTGGAGTGGGACTCAGGCATCGGTTTTTTTTTTTCTTTTTTAACTCCCCAGTGATTCCAATATATGGCCAAGGTAGAAATCTTCTGTTCTAGGAAATTAATTATCTTATAAATAGAGTAGCTCTACCTAGAAAGAAAAGCAAACTTTTAGAAAACCAAAAAGTTTTTCTTTATAAATTATTAATTATAAAAGAACTTCTGACTGCTTAGGTACATAAAAATCTTTATAACTTTATGAGGTTTTCCCCAAAGTAAACCATTAGAGGCAATTTTTACTGAGATTAACTAGATCTTAAAACTAGAAAGAAGTTTCCAAGTAAGAAATAAGATTTTCCTCTCTGTTGATATGCATGATATGGAAAAGGTATTTGCATTACATACTATTAAGGAACTCTTAAAAATCAATAAGGAAAATACTAACAATCCAATAGAAAAATAGGCAAAAATGATTACCAGGCAAATCACAGAAGAAGGCAACAAAAATGGCCAATAAACATACGAAGAGATGTTTAACGTCACTCATACTAAGGCAAATTTAAGGTACCATTTCAGATTGGCAAAAAGTTTAAAGTATAGCAAACCCAAATATTAGTTGAGGATATGGATAAACAAAAACTGTCATATATTACTAGCAAAAGCGTAAACTGATATAAGTATAGTAAAGCTGAAGATACTCTATAATGTAAGAATTCTACTTTTAAGTTCATATCCTTGTGCACAGCTTTGCAACTACTGTGCTGGGAATTGTTTACAGACTACCAGTGTGTTGAGCTATTGATCTCCTCAACCCTCAGTGACTGGTTACGACTTGGGACAGCTAGATCTCTAGGCCTGTCCTCTAGTCAGCAACAAGCTCACCTTTTAATCTCAATGTACTAATCAAATACTAGAAGTATCCAGAGACTCTCAGGTGCACAAGTATATATGAGAATGTCCACTGTAGTATTTGTTTGAAATAACAACAACAAAATAAACACCTGGAAGTGGCCTAATTGTTTATTATATATGAATAGATAAATTGTGGTATATTTATACAGTGAAATAATTATAACTGTTAAAAAGCCACAGGTATAACGCAGGTAAGTCTCAAAAGCATAATACTGAGGGGAAAAAAAGTTGCAGAATCATATAAACAATGACATCATTTATTTAAAGTTTAAGAAAGCAAACAAAACAATACTTCATAGTTTTACATATGTTTACAAGTGTAGTAAAAGTCGAAAAACATGTATGGAAATTGATACACACCAATCTCTGCACAGTAGTTACCTCTGGGGAAGAAGAGACAGGATTGAGATCTGGAGGGTACACAGGCAGGCTTCAGTTTATCAGTAATGTTTTATTTCTTTAACGATAACATCAATAACAGAAATATCTGAAACTAATGTGGCAAAATATTACATTATCTTTGTGTGTTTTTTTTAAAGGGCAGTGGATACTTGAGTATTCACTATGTTATTTTCTATCTTTTTCTGTATGTTTGGAATGTTTCTGAATCTAAAAAAGTTTAAAAACTAGTGATATAAATATGTAACTGCCTAACATCACAGGTGCCTAAAATATCCAGGTCAAGAAGGTAATGGGTTAAACTACAAGACTCCTGTAAAATCTTGTGACTAGCTCCAAATCAACATTAAAAACAAACAAAACAGGGTCTTCCCTGGTGGCGCAGTGGTTGAGAGTCCGCCTGCCGATGCAGGGGACACGGGTTCGTGCCCGGGTCCGGGAGGATCCCACATGCCGTGGAGCGGCTGGGCCCGTGAACCATGGCCGCTAAGCCTACGCGTCTGGGGCCTGTGCTCCACAGCGGGAGAGGCCGCAGCAGTGAGAGGCCCGCATACCGCAAAAAACAAAACAAAACCAAAACCCATTAAGGTTTAGCTCTATGGCTTTGGAAGCTGAGAAGCTGAAGCATCGTGCTAACCATAGGCGCATGCTATATACCCCTTTACTGTTTCAGAGCTGTATTTTAAGATAGTTCAGCACTGCTCTGCTATAGTTTCTAGTACAGTCTTGGCTATCGTAAACAAAACTGCTATTAACACGTAAGGGTCTGTTTTTAAATTACAAGGATGGAAAAAAAAAATACAAGGATGAACTGTTCTTCCCTCTACTTCCTCTGTGGGATTATTGCCTCATTAGGGACTCCACATACACACCAGAACTTGTACTGGCATTAAGAATTATGACATAGATTACTTCAGGGAGAAAAGACAATACTCAGTAAAAGGAGTGACAAGGAGATAAAAATATGTTTCTAATAATATAAAATAATCATGGTAATAACAACAGCAGCTAAGATTTATATAGCACAGGCTATATGCCAGGCACACTGTTCTTGGTGCTTTACATTTAAACCTCACATCCACCCTATGAGGTTGAAACTGTTATCCTATTTCACTGATAAGGATAAGGGCAAATAAATGATCATATGCCTGTTAAAAGATAGAGCCAAGGGTCTGAATCCAGCAGTTTGACTCTAGAGACCATTGCCCCACTGCTAAAGATATTCTGGTAATTCAACCATACACATTTACTGGGACCTTGCCATGTTTACCATACTGAGAGCTCAAGGTACGAAGGTACAACATGGCTCTCCTTTATGTTTGCATCTAACTAGACTCTACAGCTCAAAGTTTCTTTTCACCAGTGACTATATCAAAATAATTTTTATACTCAAAACAATTCTCTAAATAATTAAGGATAACTGTTATGAACAATGATTCTCAAAGCAAACACCAACAATTCAAAGAGGTTCAAAAATTAATCCAGAAGACTTCTGGTTTCTGGTTCTGCATACAAGGAGCTCAGAAGTTGCCACTCTATCCTAACAACAAGAAAAAAGCTAAACAGTCTGAAAAATCAACAACTCTTCTTGGGTCCATAAGAAAGAGTAGGACACAGGGCAAACTACTACCACCATGATTAGAGGGACAGGCAAATATGGGAGTCTTGGTTTACAAGAGAGACTAATGAACAGAAACTGCCATAGAAGGCAGTGACGGTACCAAAACCTGAACTGTAACTAATTAATTGCCAGAGGCTCAGTATGGGCAACTCATAGTTAAAACTCTAGGGGGACCCAGTCACAGAGGGGGCTCCCTCAAAGCTGTGAAATTTATCTCCAGGAGCTCAACTAGGTTCCCATAGTAAATACGGAGAAACATCCGCTCGGGCAGGGGGAGGGCAAAAGGAACCATTTTTGAAATACACCAAAGCACTCAGTTCTCTGTCTGCCCTCCGCAGAAACTAGTTGAACAGCGCCTAAACTGCTAGGGCATTATCAGAGTCTAAGTGACCTGGGGAAGGGAAATACCCAACTCCAGCCCACTCTAGCCACCCTGTCTCACCTAAGGGGGGAGGAAAAAAACTGAAACACTTGTGAAGTTCAGAGTCCAGAGACACAGGCTTGCTAAAAGCCTGGGACCTAACATAGGACTACAGAATGCTTTCCCTCCCAGACACCTCACCACCACATTACTAAAGACCTATTTACAACAGTTTCTCTTCCCTGGTATATCATGTTAAGGTATCAAGGAAAAATTACAAGGCACACTGAAAGGCGAAAAATGCAATTTGAAAAGAGAGAGTAAGCTTCAGAACCACACACAGACCAGGAATTTAAAACTGTAATTAATATGCTAAGAACTCTAATGGATAAAGCAGACAGCATGCAAGAATAGATAGGCAATATAAGTACAGAGACAGAAATCCCAGAAAGAATCAAAAAGCAATACTAGAGATCAAAAACACTGTAACAGAAATGAACAGTGCCTTTGATGGGTTTATTAGTAGGCTGGAGAAGGCTGAGGAAAGAAGCTCTGAGCTAAAGGATATATCAATAGTATCCTCAAAAACTGAAAAGCAAAGAGGACAAAGGCTGGAAAAAAACAGAACCAAATACCTAAGACAAGTACAAAAGGTGTAACATATGCATAGTGAGAATACCAGAAGGAGAAGAGAGAAAAGAACAGAAGAAATATTTGAAATCATAATGACTGAGAATTTCCCCAAATTAATGTCAAACCGCAAACTACAGATCAAGGAAGCTCAGGGAACACCAAGCAGGATAAATGCCAAAACAAACAAACAAAAACTAAACAAAAAAACTGCTCCACAGTATATCATTTTCAAATTACAGAAAATCAAAGATAAAAAAAAATTAATTCACTTGTACACTGTTGGCGGGAATGTAAATTGGTGCAGCCACTGTGGAAAACACTATGGAGGTTTCTCAAAAAACTAAAAACAGAGCTACCATATGATCCAACAATTCCACTCCAGGGTAAGTATCCAAAAGAAAAATACCACTAATTTGAAAAGATACACATACCCCAATGTTCCTAGCAGCATTATTTACAATTACCAGGATATGGAAGCAACCTAAGTGTCCATCAATGGATGAATGGATAAAGAAGATGTGGTATAGGCAATATAAGTACAGAGATAGAACAGAATACTACTCAGTCATAAAAAAGAGTGAACTTTTGCCATTTGTATCAACGTGTATGGACTTGGAGGGAATTATGCTACATGAAATAAGTCAGAGAAAGACAAATACTATATGATATCACTTACATGTGGAATCTAAAATATACAACAAACTAGTGAATAAAACAAAAAAGAAGCAGACTCACAGATATAGAGAACAAACAAGTGGTTACCCGTGGGGAGAGGGGAGAGGGGAGGAGCGATATAAGGGTGGGGGGAAAAAAGGGGTTATTATGGGATTATATGAAATCATGTGTGTGAAACTTTTGAAAACTGTGAAGCACTACAGAATTTAAAGAATCTTTCATTCAGTTAGAAAAAGTAAGCACAACGTAAAGAGAAAAATCAATCTAAAACTCGGTGAGCCTAGGACTAGAGTAAGTACTGCAAAAATTCAGAATACATAGTCCTTGCTTTCAACATTTCTTTAAATTTACATCTAAGCCAGTGGTTCTTAAACTTTAGCAAAGACCAAAATCACCTGGAGAGCCTGTTAAAACACAAACTGCTGGGCTATATCTCAAGAATTTCTTATGCAGCAGGTCTGGAATGGGACCTAAGAATTAGTGTTTCTAACAAGCTCCTGGGTAATGCTGATACTGCTAGTCCAAGGACCACACTTTAAGAATCACTGGATAATTTCATTGCCTTATAAACAAATCATGCTCATCCTTACTCTTTATTTTTAAACTCATGTTCTTCCTCTTGTCCCGACCTTTATTTCAAGGGAATATACTGTGAATTGGAAACTCAAAAGAATATAATAGATACGAAAGAATCTGAGAAGATAAAAAAACTATACAAATGAAAGGACTAATACTTCATGCATTTGGACCTCAGACACTCAGCAGTTTCAGCCACATACAATGAGCTATATAACCACAGAAGTGATCACAGAGATGGAAAAGGAACAAAAACAGCTAAGAAGGACCAAAGATGTGCTGTTTCTTCCTATTTTCCACCATAATATATTGCAGTCAGCAAGGAGGGGTACCTATGATAGCTAAGAAAAATAGAAAAAACTGAATGTGATTAGGATAGCAGCAGTGATACAGACCAAGTGGAAATGGACAAGAAGTAGACACATTAATGGAGAAAAAGATATACACTGAACAGAAGTAGCCATAAAACAAGGGAAAAAAGTGAATAAGCTATTTAAAGTGTCGGGTGATTAACTGAAAAGAAACGCCAAGTCCTAAAAACCTATATAACGGTATTACTATGCCATATTAAAGCACATCAACAACACAGCAATCTAGGAACATTTAGCCTGAAAGAAATAAGCCACACATACTTTTAGTAAACATAAGTAACTAACATAGCATAACTGTCATGAGAAATAACTCTGAGTCATCAAGAAAAAGTTCAAATATGTTTGACGCTTTTTTTCTTTATGCTTGACTCTTAAGGCAAAAACAAGTACTTTATACATTTTAGCAAAATTTTTCATAAAAATATATCCAAAACATTTATATCTTGAGTTAGTTAACTGGAAATATCAATCATCCAGATATCTGTGACTTTTCTCAGGTGTTACTCAGAAAAACAATAGTCACACGATGGGCTTCCCTGGTGGTGCAGTGGTTAAGAATCCGCCTGCCAGTGCAGGGGACACAGGTTCGAGCCCTGGTCCGGGAAGATCCCACATGCCGTGGAGCAACTAAGCCCGTGCACCACAACTACTGAGCCTGCGCTCTAGAGCCCGCGAGCCACAACTACTCAGCCCACATGCCACAACTACTAAAGCCTGCGTGCCTAGAGCCCATGCTCTGCAACAAGAGAAGCCACCGCAATAAGAAGTCCATGCACTGCAATGAAGAGTAGCCCCAACTTGCCACAACTAGAGAAAGCCCATGTGTGACAACAAAGACCCAATGCAGCCAAAAATAAATAAATAAATTTATTTTTAAACAAACAAACAATAGAGTCACATGAAAAATAACATGATCACTTCAGTTAAATAGTCTAATAACTTTTACTTACCAATGGGAAGATCTTCAGCTTTTGCAAGGTCATTCTCTTCTATTCCAGGCATCCCTGCATCACCACCTCGTTTGATTTGTTCTGCCCAAGTAACAGTAACAAAAAATATAATTTTATATTTTTCATTACATAAATTGAAAATATTTTGAAGGAATGTAATAATCAGTTTGTAGAGCAATAGGCTATATCAAATGAATATCTTTATATCTTGCTTTGGACATAGTTGTAACTCTATAAACTTACTGTTTTTTCTTCTCTATTAAAGGATCCAAATTTGAAACAGACACCTAATCATAATGGAAGTAAAATCAAACAATATTCTTTATGATTCAATAATCCACTTCAAAATGAGAAAAATAATAGTTTTTCTATTAACACAAAATAATAGTAATACCTTTCCCATGTGGAATATGATTGCTTGAGGGTTCTTCATGCTTGCCTGCAGCATTCTCAGCAACTTTTGGAATGTTTTTAGGTACCGCATGATGGTTTATATCCAATTCATTTCCATCTTTTGATTCAAACTTGTGGGCCTCTTGCTGTAAGATTTGGTAACAGTAAGTATTTTTCAGTTCAAAATGTGAAACTACTGAAACAACTATTAACTTAATATTCTGAAACAATTCATGTTTTTGAAATACATACCATGGGTCTAAATTCTAAACACTTGGAGATGTGGGATATATTATTTTCTGTTCAGTTTTTATACCTGATATGAATTCAGAGAGTAAGTAATATTTTTTAAAAGTCTCTATCATAAATGGCCTAAAATTTTAGGCAGAGATAATTCCCTTTGGCTATGCTGATAATTCTCTTTGGTGATTCTGTGAGAAGACAGTCTTGCTGAGCACTGTAGGTTGCTGTGGAGGCCTACAGTTTGGCACAGTCTTGGGTGCTGTGGGCAGAGTGGATTCTGTATAGGCATATGCTGTAATCGAGTAGGATAGCAGAGAGCAGGAGGATGGCACACAGGTGTCCCCTCAAGTGTGATAGATGGCTACTGACATTGTCAGGCTTTTCCCCAAGTAGAAACAGCAAGGGTAGAAAACAGGCAAACTTCTTCCCAGGTGCACTGGCCACTCAAGCATAGGAAGGAATGGCAGAACAATGCACAAGTCAATGCTCCCTGTAACCTGCTTCAACTAACCATATCTCCTCCTTGGAAACTTGAATCTTCAGGTTTATGATTAGGTCTGACTCAATTCTGTGGGGGGCCAGTTTCCTCTTTTATATTGGTTGAGTTGCCTCAGTGGAAAACTGGGAGAGGCAAGGAGTCAAGTACACATGCTTGGGTTGCCATATTAACATTTAATGCATAATAATATTAACATTAAATGTTCTGTCAACTCTAAAGCATTATGCAGTGCAATCATTGATAACATTATAAAAAACAATAGTACTAAAAAATCTATAGAAAATCTAGAAAAATAGGAGGCAAATTGTAAGAATTTGTCACAATAAAGAAGAAAGGGTGCTTTGACAATCAGGTGTAGGTATTCCAGTGTATCTGGCAGATAAAATCAACAACAAACATTTGCACTGTGTTTCATAGTTTACAAATTGTTTTCAAGTCTATCCTTTAGTGGAGACAAATGAATAGTTTTGGGAAAAACAAAATAAAACTGAGGCTTAAAGAAGTTTAAGCAGCTTGTTCAAGATTACAAAGCTAGAGAAGTGTGGAAAAGGGATTCAAACCACAGTCTTTCTCACTCCCACAGTTTTTGGGAACTTGGTAAGCGATAGCCAGTTCTGAGAGCTTAATTGCTGATGAGTGAAACGATAAGTTGAAATTTCTGAATATGTCAGTATGAAGGCCAAAGGTGAGAAAATCGTTGAGGTACAACCTGAGCAGCCATCCTGCATCTCTGTGCATTTTTGCTATAATGCTACATCATAAGGCTACTTCCATAATATTCCACTGCTTTTTGATGTGGATAAAACAAACAATAATAAACAAAATTTAAAAGTCAACAAACTAGTGGTCAAAAATACTTCTCCATTTAAAACAGTTAATAAAGATGTTGTCCCTTTGATGTATTATTAACAGCAATACCTTTACGTGAATGGACAATATTAAATACTATTAACAAAATAAGATGGCTTCCTAAATGCAGTACTGTTGATTTGGTAAGGGGGCCACTTAATTGTTTTTTTGTTTTTTAATAAATTTATTTGTTTTTTTATTTTTGGCTGTGTTGGGTCTTTGTTGCTGCGTGAGGGCTTTTCTCTAGTTGCGGAGAGTGGGGGCTACTCTTCGTTGCGGTGCGTGGGCTTCTCACTACGGTGGCTTCTCTTGTTGCGGAGCGCAGGCTCTAGATGCGTGGGCTTCAGTAGTTGTGGCACGTGGGCTCAGTAGTTGTGGCTCGCTGGCTCTAGAGTGCAGACTCAGTAGCTGTGGCACACGGGCTTAGTTGGTCTGCGGCATATGGGATCTTCCCAGACCAGGGCTCGAACCCATGTCCCCTGCACTGACAGGCGGATTCTTAACCACTGCGCCACCAGGGAAGTCCCCCTAATTGTTTTTTAAATAAACTTCTTACTCTGAAATAATTTAGATTTACAGAAAAGTAATTACCCACCTCCCAATTTCCCTTAATATTAACATCACAATAGCACAGCACATTTGCAAAACTAAGAAACCAACATTAGTACATTATTAACTAAACTCCAGACTTTACTTAGACTTCACCACTTTTTCCATTAAGACCTTCTTCTGTTCCAGGATCCAATCCAGGATACTACACTGCATTTATTTAATTTAATTTATTTATTTATTTAATTTTTTACTACATTGCATTTAAGTACTCAGGTCTTCTTAGTCTCCTCTGGTTTATAACCATTTATCTTTGTAGCATGAAAGCAATAAACAAATGAGTGTGGCTGTGTTATAATAAAATTGTATTTGTAGACACTAAGATTTGAATTTCTTACAACTTTCCCATGTCATAAAATATTCTTTTGACTTTTTAACCATTTTTCAATGTAATGACCGTTTTTTGCTGATGGGCAGTTAAAAACAGGCAGGAGGTTGGACTTAGTTTGCTGACCCCCTCCCCAGAGTAATTTCCAAGACAGGAATGTACTTAGTTAAAAAAAAAAAAAATCCCTCAATACAGCTTATGCTTGTTTCATATAGCTTACAATGGATTTGTTCCTACGAGAAACAACTCAAATTTCACAGAATCAACTAGTTATAGTAGTCGAAGAACAGAGAATGAGGATGAGGAGTAGATTAGGCAGCTGGTATGTCACCCTACAAAGGAGAAATGCTCTTAAGCATCTCCATTCCTCCCCACCTTGCTCCATTTAGGGCAGGATAAGTGCAAAGAAGAGCTGGAGTAGATATTAGCTAATTAATAATGTAAAAATAGCCTAATATAGAAGAGCAGAAAGGGAGAACTACACTTGGCAGGAAAAAGGAAAAAGCTTATATACGTGCTTCTTGGGAGAAGAGAAGAGAGCAAATTCATCCCATTATTTATATACTGGGCTTGTAATAACACAATTGCAACAGCAAGCCTCTTGTTCCCTTCCTTCCGTGTTCTACTATGCTCCTCTAACCATCCAGTGTCTCAATAATACCTTCTGGCTGCCCTCAATGCCACCTAGGTAGCTCACTCAGGCCTGCCATCTTCCAGCAATCTATCCCCATGTCTCTTCAAGGAAGACTGCAGATAGGCAGCAGCCATTCCACTTTATAGATTAAAAAAAATGATGCCCTCAATATCATGCTGCAAAATAGTGAAAGAGCAAAGAATGAAAACCTGGTTTCCTTAGCTTCTAGTCCTTTAGGTGAGATGCTGCCAAAGACCAAGAAAAATACTTTTCACTATTCAATCTCTCTTAACTCTAAATCACAAGACTTTATACAAACCACAGCTAGTCAGATTAGATTATAGTGTATAAAAAAATGAATGTCCTAATGACTAGTAAACTTCAGACAAATTCCCTCCATTTCTAGCAGGACTTTCATAATATATATCAACTGGAATTGTATGAACTAAAAGAATTTGCCACCCCCAAAATATGAATCAAAATAGTGGCTAGTGTTTCATTTCTGTGTTTTAAGAAAGGAATTCAGAATAACAAAGACTGATAATTAAGGAAAATTTTTCTCAATTTTTTTCTATTTCTCAAAAGCATAAAATAGCAAATAGTTGATTTTCAAGTAAAATGATCATCCACTTTACAACCTAAGAAATAAATAGCAAAAATTATTTTTAAAAGTCAGGTAAAAGATATTTAGCTCAAAATTAGTTTTAAGAGTTGAGGTTATACTTTTGTAAATGTCTAATTTACTCAGCAGTAAAGCCACTGCAAGTCACTTTTAGAATTAGGCAGGCTAAAATACTTAAAAATATAATGTTTTATAACAAAAATACAAATTTTAACTTTTAAATTTTAAGATTTATAACAAAACATATTTTAAGTATTTTTAAAATTTACCTTTTGTTCCTGCAAAAACTGGTCTGCTAACTTTTTAATATTTTCTTCATGCTGTGCTCTTAATTCCTTGATCTGTTGTCCACACTGAAAACTAAATTACAAGTCATTCTTTTAGACTATTATTTTGGATTGATTCTCAAAGATGTCTAGAAGTTGAAAACATACATTTATAAGGATAAAGCATTCAGTTAGCAGGGGAGTGGGTAGGGAAGGACAATGAGCAGACATAAAAATAGCTCACAGCCAAAATTCTTACAATATTTGAACCTTTAACAGAGGATAAAAATATTGATAAAACTAATTAAAAAACAGAAATTAGAAAGATGAAAATTTATTTTTATAAGTTGCATTTATAAAGAAACAACTGTCAAAGTCAACTTCAATCATAGAAGAGAAAAACATTTTAGAAGAGAAAACTGTAAGACCAATATATAGTAATAGATAAGAAAAGCTAGAATTATAAGAGTTGATAAGGAGTGGCAGCAGATGATTCATCAAATAGTTAGTACTTTCAACGCAATAATAAAATCCTAAACCATAAGAAGAGCAACAATGGAAGAAACTAACAAAGAAGAGAGAATGCAACCAGCAAGAGAAAACGTAAAGGAACAAAACACATAAAGATTGTGAATTTCCACTGCACGGAGTAGTCAAAGAATACAAATAGATCATTCATGCAAAAAGAAACAAAGAATACATACACAGAAAAATGTCATCTTCCACCATTTAAAATGCAAATTAAACTTCTTATATGTATATATAGTACTATCTTATTACTATACTAGCAAAATTAAGTTAGAAATATAAAAGCCAATGTTGGTGGGGCTACAGGGAAACATTTACATTATAAATAAGTATAGTCATTTTACAAAGCAATCTTTCATATATGTGATAAGAGCAACAAGATCAATAAAACATTCTACCTCAGAAGTTCTATATTTGAGAATATAACCAGTGAAATAATGTAAGAGGGAGAAAATGCTTTTTGCACAAAGATTTTTATAGTTGATAGTCATAACAGTGAGAAAAGGAAAACTCCTACAATGGTCCAGCAGTTGGGAGAGATTAAACAAGCTTTGGTACACTAACATGCTGGAATAATATTTCTTTAATCCTAAAGATATATGTAAAATTACTGAATATTATTAGATTAAAATACATATATGTAAGTAGATGCATATTGATAACCTACAAGAGTAAGAAGTCAGAAATGGATAAACAGTTTAAAATACAGTGAATCTTTCTAATTTTTGGTGTGTAGACCCAAAAATACCTTTAACTGTAAAACTGATTTAATACACAATAAGCCCTTTTAAAGAGTAATTCTAGAAAGGCCCCTAAGAGGCTTCCCAACCTCATCACCAACAGTGCAGAGGTGTAAACAAAGGGACTGAAGTGCAGAACAGGAGAAGCAGCTGGTGCTTAGTCCCTCAGCTATTCTGGGGATATCTTCCACTGCCAGCTTTATCTTCTGGATTGACCCTCAAAAAGAACCACAGAATCTTCTTTCAGTCTTTGCCACAGCCCATTCAATAAAACTCAGACCTTGAAAGATTTTCTGTCTCACAATGAACTCTACTACATGGGTAGATTCAACATGCCTTGTAAGAGATATTTTCATGTTGTTCAACATATCAAAATAAAAGAGTGATTTCAAAGAGGCATAGAAAGATAACAGAAAAGGAACTTAAAAGACCTAGTAAAATGAAAGAAGAGAAGAAAAACAAAAGCCAGAAAGGAAGAAATGAATTGAAAGTTGGACAAATATTCAAGATTCATAAATATCTGTTGCATGTAGCATCTTACCTCTCATATTCTAACCTCTTCACGAGGTAAGTACTGTTCTTCCTATAGTCCTGGAGCTGGTCTTCTTGTCGAAGAAACTCCTGACGAAGCTCAGCGAGTTGCTCTATCCACAGAAGGTAAAAATCAAAGGAATGAAGTTTACTTTACTGCTTCCCATTGAGAAGGTATGGGATTTTCAAAAATTATATACAGGAAGTTAAATTTATATAATTAGTACCACATTTAATTGCCTTTCATACACATGCATGGGCAATAAAACAAGATAGCCTCAGTGGTTTCACATAAATCAGAAATATTAAAAATATATACATCTTTTCACATTATGTAGACAATATGCTAAGTTGTAGAAATAGTACAAAAAGAACTAACTATCTCTCTAAACCTTACTGCTTTATAAAAGTAGGGAAAAAATCATATTTTTTAGGTGTATTGGCCATGGGTACAGAATTCAATTCATTCTAAATCATACTTGATTCCCAAATTAGGTACCAATCATTTTAGATCTCATTTCTAGTTCTGCTACTGAGGTTTAGATCCACATATACCAAAATTCCATTTTCAAAGCTTATAACCTCCAGACTACAGCTAAGTTTTAGCTGTAATGAATAACATGAAATTTCAAACTGGATAGTAAATTAAAAGCTGGACCAGATCCCCTTTGGGAACCTTTAATCCATCATCACTGGCCCCACATTTTCTAGTCACTCCCTCTTTATCTAACCCTACAAATAAAAGAAATTCAGCCAGAAAAGAGAAATGTCAGTTTCTTGGATAGAGGATTAAAAAATTAGCCAACAGCCTTAGAAGTTAAGCAAAAGTAGTAAAGAAAGTTTTAATTTTTATAAATGGGAACAGAGGTCTATTCTGTATAAGCAATAATGACTTATTAAGATTAAAGTATAATATCTAACCATAATGTACAATATTATAACTATAACATAACATCTACTTTTCATAGAGGGCTTACAGAAATAATCTTGTTACTTTAAAGGCACTCAAAAAATGCTTGTGATGTAAGTTTTTAAAAAGATATAAACATATATTTATAATATAAATCTTTATAAAAAGATATATATCTTTATAAAAAGATATATCTTTATAAAGACATTATCTTATAATATCTTTATAATATCTTATAAAGATATTATATCTTTATAAAAAGATATAAACATATTTATAATATAAAATATATCCATGTAAAACAGATGAGAATAAAAATACATCAAAATGCTACCAGTGATTACACTTAGTGGTGGGATTCTGAGCATATTTTTTTCTCTACTTTCTAAATTTTATTGTGGAATCATAACTATGGTGATGACAAAAAGTAAAAATGTTAAAGTCACATGAACATTTGCTGAAGTATATAAAGTTTAACAATATGCATAATAACAGCTATTGTATAGTATTAATAATCAAATATGAAAAGTAAATGATTTACATAAAGTGCTTATAGGTAGTAAATATGCTTGCCTATTCAAGCCACATTTTTATTATTATTTTTAAATTTTATTTTTAAAAATTTATTTATTTATGGCTGTGTTGGGTCTTTGTTGCTGCACGTGGTCTTTCTCTAGTTGTGGCGAGTGGGAGCTACTCTTTGTTGCGGTGCACGGGCTTCTCACTGCAGTGGCGTCTCTTGTTGCGGAGCATGGGCTCTAGGCACATGAGCTTCAGTAGCTGTGTCATGTGGGCTCAGTAGTTGTGGCACACGGGCCCTAGAGCACAGGCTCAGTAGTTGTGGTGCATGGGCTTAGTTGCTCTGCGGCATGTGGGATCTTCCCAGACCGGGGCTCAAACCCGTGTCCCCTGCATTGGCAGGCGGATTCTTAACCACTGCGCCACCAGGGAAGCCCTATTACTTTTATTTTAATTGAGATATAACATTGTGTAAGTTCAAGGTGTACAACATGTTGATTTGATTCACTCACGTATTGTGAAATGATTACCATCATAGCATTAGCCAACATGTCCACCATCTCACATAATTACCACTTTTTTGTGGTGATAACATTTAAGATCTACTGTCTTAGCAACTTTCAAGTATATAATACAGTCTTGTTAACTATAATCACCATTCTGTATATAGATCACCAAAACTTATTCATCTTATAACAGTTTGTACCCTTTGACCAACATCTCATTTTCCCCACACACCTCCCAGCCACCTCCCTGTAGAACGGTAGCCACCATTCTACTCTCTGTGTCTATGAGTTTAGTCAAGTCACATTTTAAATTTCTCTTCTTACTCTATTAATTCTCCAATATATAAACACGGTTGATTTCTGTAGTTTTTCACATTACTCCCACCCTAGATAAAAGTAACAAATCTGAGGTCAGGTATCCCTGAATAACATATTCAGCTTGTTACCTGATCCCTGGTCCCATTTATTAAGAAACAGAGGGCTAGAGGTAGCAGAGCTCTGGCCTCAGCTATGGATGCTGAGTCTACAGAAACAATGAGATCCCAGCAGGAGGCAGTGACAAAAAGCCTTGTAGTTTACAGACAGTGTTAGCCAGTTCCCTGAAACTGTACTCAAGAAGGAAATATTTTAGAATTGAAAGTTACTACAATTAAAAAAAAAAGAAAAGAAAAATCAAATCAGCACTACCTAGTAGCTACTAGGGAATGGACCTCAACTGGTGGTCAGGACTCATTCAGGCTTCTTTTTCCTACACAGTAAACTAACTGAAGCAGCTAAGTTTACCTTCAGAATGAACCTGAGGCTTAGTATGATTTTAAGATTTGGGATGGCTTCTCTGCCTCCCCACAAAGTTTCTCACTAACAATATTTGAAATACCTTTATCAGGAAATAAAGTTTTCACTTTTAAATGGAGATAAAAGGCTTAAAATTCAATTGACAGAAAAATAGAACATCAGTATGAGTGAGTTCCAGTCCATGTAAAATATCAGATTCTAACCTATTTGAATACAGGGAAAGGATTATAAAGCATGCAGCAGATTGATGCTTTGAGTGGGCCAAAATAAAGACTTGAAAGGGGACAAGTAGAGTTCTCTGGTGGTATAGTGGTTAGGATTCGGTGCTTTCACTGCAGTGGCAAGGGTTCAATCCCTGGTTGGGAAATTGAGATCCCGCAAGCCGCGTGCCGTGGCCAAAAAAATGGGGGCAAGGGGAGTAAACAGATCAGAAAGCAAAACTAAAGACAAAATTTTCCTATATCACAATTTTACTTTCAACTGATTGCCATGTGTTTTCTTCATTTTAAACCCAAAGATACTCTGTGTCTAGTGTGGCTGCTCTAGGTCACCACAGCAGGATGCTCAGAGTAACTTTTTTTTTTTTTAATTTTTGGCTGCGTTGGGTCTTCGTTGCTGCACGCGGGCTTTCTCTAGTTGCCGCAAGTGGGGGGGCTACTCTTCATTGCAGCGCACAGGCTTCTCATTGTGGTAGCTTCTCTTGTTGCGGAGCACGGGTGCTAGGCTTGCAGGCTTCAGTAGTTGTGGCACGTGGGCTCAGTAGTTGTGGCTCGTGGGCTCTAGAGCGCAGGCTCAGTAGTTGTGGTGCATGGGCTTAGTTGCTCCGCAGCATGTGGGATCTTCCCGGACCAGGGATCAAACCTGTGTCCCCTGAATTGGCAGGGGGACTCTTAACCACTGCAACACCAGGAAAGTCCCCAGAGTAACTTAATATGAGATCAGGTCCAAGGTTGATTGTGCAGGGTAGTCTAGCTCTGACAGTAATATCATGGTATGCTATAGAAAGATATGGCCATAATCTCTCAATTTAACTTCTAGGATGATCTTTTAAAGCCAAAAAAAAAAATTTACTTCTGGAAATTTTTTATTGCAAATTTTCTTTCAGTAATAGGAATAAAAATAAGGTAAACTATTCAAAATAAATCAGTGTATAGTAGAATGCTAATTTACTTTCTCAGGCATTAAAAACCAACCCTAATCCTCTTATTTCCAAGAAAATATTAAAAGATTTTTTTTAGGATCTTGATGTGTATTAATTCCATTATATCCGACATTAATGTCAATGAAAACAGTCAAATACGGATTTTACTGTCAACTTGTCAAGAAGTTTGTTTCAGCAGAAAGAGTTCCCAGGGTGCAAAAGTCACATTAATGAAATTCAATCTCAAGCATCCAAGCTTCAGTAACTGCACTAAAACCAAAAGTTGCATGGTATGAGTTCAAATCAAAGCTTTTTTCTCTGCTAAAGATTATCATCAAAATTTCAAAACATCTCAAGATCTACTTCAACACATACAGCAAAATAAAGATTTTTACTCAGTAACATAGGCTGTCATTTTCTCTGACATGTACTAGCAAAACCCATAGGACTTCCTATTCAACTGATCTATTACTATTTAATAAGAAATATACTTTGATGACAAGCAAAATCATTTGTAAAAATTGCAAGCTGGAAGCAGCACTGACAGTGTGCCATCTTCTGTGTCATCCTGTGCACTCCTGTGAGTCAAAAAGAGTAGAATATGGACACAAATGCAACAACAATTATTGTGGCCAACCAGAAAGTAAATTTTTAACAGAAAATCAAAGCTGCTCTAAATCATAGATAGTAAAAAATTAATAATTCCTATGTCTGGGTTATAACACACAAATGATATTTCCTAATGGATTTGCTAGGTGAGAAGCAAAACTTACATAAATTACAAAGTCAACTTAGGTTGACTTCTTCAAGAGGATGTTTGAAAATATATTACCTGGGATTTCCCTGGTGGTGCAGTGGTTAAGAAGCTGCCTGCCAATGCAGGGGGCACAGGTTCAATCCTTGGTCTGGGAAGATCCCACATGCCGCGGAGCAACTAAGCCCGTGCGCCACAACTACTGAGCCTGTGCTCTAGAGCCCGCAAGCCAAAACTACTGATCTCGTGTGCCCCAACTACTGAAGCCCGTGAACTCTAGGGCCCGCATGCTGTTAACTACTGAGCCTGTGTGCTGCAACTACTGAAGTCCACGTGCCTAGAGCCCGTGCTCCACAACAAGAGAAGCCACTGCAATGAGAAGCCCACACACTGCAATGAAGAGTAGCCCCAGCTCATGGCAACTAGAGAAAGCCCACATGCAGCAACAAAGACCCAACGCAGCCAATAAATAAATAAATAAATATAAATAAATTTGAAAAATATATGTATATATTACCTAATTCTATCTAAATAGGTTTAAAATGGTTATAAAGATATAGTTATGAAATTAGAGAGCAAGTATTACCCACATATATAAACTCAGAGTCACTGCATGCAAAGTTTTAAAATATATAGGGTTGTAATCAAAAGGTATGAGGGAAAAGCGGGATAGTCCTCAGACCCCAAACTCCAAAGGCCAGTGACAGTGTGAAGTAATGTAAGCAGGTGATAGAGCTTGTTCTCTTTACCTATTATTTTTCATAAGAGCTTTAGTCATCTCCTATCACTTCATCTAAGTGAAAAAAAATCTGTCTTCTTACTTTCTTTTTATCTATCTACCTACCTACCTATCTATCAAATCTGTCTCCAGGTTTCTTCCCAGTTTTTGTTGCAGGTTTCTTTGATCCTGGGGTATCTAAAACATTAAGTTTGGAGGATTTTTCCAACGCATCCCTAGATCGGAATGGATTATTTTAGCAGACTGGACACAGAACAGAGGAATCATCCCTAATCTTTTCCCTAGAAATCTGACAGTCTCCGAAGTTACACCTCAATTTTCTTTGAGGATTCTTCTAACATTTCACTGCATGAACTCTGTCTACAGCACAAGATTAAAATGCAGACCTCAAATATTAACTTGCACTTATTATATATAAAGCAACATTAAAAATTTTTCAATATATCTTAAGACAAAAGGATAAATGTTTTGCAATCAGAGGAGATTTGTTCAAAAATTCTATTTCATTTAGCTGTTTAACTTGAGGATTTCTTAATTCTTCAGGATTTTAGACATTTAGTGACCTTTATCTTTAATCTGTAATTAAGTTTCTTACCCTTTAAATGATGTATGTCTGCCATCTGATATGATATGTTGTTCTGCAGTTTAACCTGAAAAAAAAATCATTTTCATTTTACTAAAGAATATGTAGTTTTGCTCATATTTACTTTTGTTCCCTCATATTCACTTTGAGCTTGATCATAAGTACAAAAGAAAAATCCTTAAGTTATGCATAACACACCACTTTCCAAAAAGAATGAGAAATAAGTTCTGATTTTGTAATACTCATTTTAAATTTGCACAAGAATATTCATTTTACTTAATATATAGTATAACAATTTTCAAAAGTTTTTAAGTTTGATTCCAAAGGTGATTTGGAGGATGAGACCATATGAAAAAGAACAAACATCTTCCTTTCTTCATCTCCCAAACATTCAGAGGGTACCTTCCTTTGGAGAAGAACCACCAATGCTTCTCCAGCTCTTTTTAGGGTAAAGGCACTTGGTGCTGCAGCCAGGAGTCAGTGCTGTGCCTCTGAGGTGGGAGAGCCAACTTCAGGACACTGGTCCATAAGAGACCTCCCAGCTCCACATAATATCAAATGGCGAAAATCTCCCAGAGATCTCCATCTCAACACCAACACCCAGCTTCACTCAACGACCAGCAAGCTACAGTGCTGGACATCTTATGCCAAACAACTAGCAAGACAGGAACACAACACCATCCATTAGCAAAGAGGCTGCCTAAGATCATAATAAGTCCACAGAAACCCCAAAACACACTACCAGACGTGGACCTGCCCACCAGAAAGACAAGATCCAGCCTCATTCACCAGAACACAGGCACTAGTCCCCTCCACCAGGAAACCTACACAACCCACTGAACCAACTTTAGCCACTGGGGACAGACACCAAAAACAACGGGAACTACAAACCTGCAGCCTGCAAAAAGGAGACCCCAAACACAGTAAGATA